GTGATTATTTACGCAAGCATAAGATGCGAAAAAGATCAAATCAGCTAATAAAAATTTGTCATCTGAATCTCAATCATTCAAAGTACCACATGATCGGAGAACCAGCTACAAAGACCCAGTAAAACCACAAAAGACATGGAAACTGTTTCCACAACTTCAACCTCATTTGTCTTCCAATGCTTAGCGATATTCTCAGATAGCGGATCATTGGGGTTTAGAGCGCGCAGAAAAGCTTGAATGCTGCAGAACAGTACATCAGAAAACACTTCCATCAGCTATTGTACAAAAAATCCAACGTAAACATGCCGAACCTCAATTCCAAATACTGTAAACTTACCATTTTGCATGACAAACTCAAACAAATGCTATTGCATTAGCCTCCATAATAGATAAAGGGAGAGGGATGCTGTAAGCCAGCAAAACTAAGATCTACATCTATAACAATTTGGTAGATCTTTTGTGCTCCTTAGCTATTTAGATTGTTAGAGTGCCAATGCAGCCTATTCAGTCCCTTTCCAGAAGTCTCAAATATGCAAAGGGAAATCACTAATATACCTAAGAAGTACAGTTCGAATCTGTAGTGCAGGACTCCACTTGTCTTTCAAGATGTCGAGGCATATCCTACCAAGCTAATTAAAAGAAAAATCACATTAAGAATCAAATGGATATTCCAGCCAAAAAAAGAAAAAAAAGTTGTAATAGTACCTTTTCAATATTGGGATGGTATATTTTTGTGAGAAACCTAACCTGTGGCACAAGTAATGATTAGAAGCTAAACCCCACGAGTCACCACTATTTTTGGATAAAGCAGTTGAAAACCTCAGGACAAATAAAAACTTCAAAAGTACTTAAGTGAAGACCCAGGAGTCAGCAACGCTGGCAATGTCCAGCTTCATCTGAGAGTTATCTAAGCAACCATATGCATATGTTCACACAACCAATCAAATCAATCAGAATAGCTAACAGATGAACCGTAAAAAGAGTTACTCGAACAAGCAACATGCAGACTGGATGGAGCCACTCAGCAGTCAGAATGAAGCGAAATCCAATATGACCTACAGCAGTAAGCAAATCAATTTTTTTGCCTGCCACCTGAGGCAAATCCTACTCCACTTTAAACATGGTTCACCGCGGACAACTAAAGCTGCCCAAAAATCAACAACCCCTTGGAAACATCTAAGGAAGACCAAAACGATTCATAAAAATTGACTGCGATTGCTAAACTTTCTAGATAGCAGAAGTAAGCAAAGAGTCGAGGCACAATTCTGACAGAAATGCAAAGGCTCTAGAAACAAGAGGAAAGCCATTACCCCACCATGAACTCGAGAAAAAAAGAAAAAGAGAGTTTGAAACAATTACAAAGGGAAAGATGAATCAATGTCCTATTCATCTATTTTTTTTAGGTAAGCAAGTTACTGTCTTTAAACTAGCATGTAACTTTCATTGTCAACACCAAGGCATTAATTGATTATGTAGCTTTCACAACCCATTTACAGAGCACTTGCAATCTAGCACCTTTACTTGATTGAGATTCTGTGCTGGAAAGAACCAAGCAGCAGATACCATGACAACAGAAGTTACTATATATTGAAAGAAAAGACCGTGCTCAAGTGAAAATTACCTAAGGAGCAGCCACAGGATATTCTTCAGGCAAAAACAACTCTAGTTTGAAAACTCCTCCTACAAAAAGATTGCAAAAAGACAAGCAAACAAATTAACTAAGAGATTAGTTATGACAGAACAAATTTTTTAGGAACCGCCGGTTTGAGTGCAAGTTAACTAAGTTAGATTCTCCATCAAATTTTTATTTAAAATTTTCACCCATACTTGCAGAAAACACAATTTAGAAAGAGCTTTCCAGCACCTGCTTGATATTTTCCATTTTTAGTTCATTAATCACGGCTATATATTCGCTTTTACATAAATGGCTACCATGAAGATAGACATGCACAATAAATTTAAGGGGAACAGAAGAGGTAACTCACAATGAATGGAATGAATGCTATCCAAAAGTATGTATGCCAGCCTGCACAAAGAAAAGTAAAAAGTAGAGGTCACGTGATAACAATCACAACATCCGGCCACACTCAAATACAGAAACTACGCAAAAGGCACTGGTGAGAAAATAATATGCATTTACAATAATAAATTGGACCCAGCAAGTCTATGGTTTTCAACATGGCACTTTTATACACTCAAAGCAGATGAACCTCAAAAGCATCACTAAAATATTAAATATTGGCATGCATATCCATGAAGACAGGCATGGCGATAAATAAACAATTTCATTAATGCAGATTGTTATAAAAGAACACTTCTGGCCATTAAAGCAATAAAATAAAATAAGTATTAGAAAGCCTCACCACATATATTCATTCTTCAACTGGTAAACTCTATTTACCGACGATAATCTCCTCATCAAGACAATTCATATCTATAAAAAAAAACGAGACTAAATTAAATATTCACTTATTAGATATATAAAAGGAATTACAATATATAAAGATATAAACATCACTTACCCAACTCAAATTTTTCTGCATTCTCGATACACTCTTCAACATTAATTGACACACGAATGGCTCTCAACCAATCTTGAGTGCAAATCAAAGCTTCTACTACTTTGAGTGTTAAAGAACTTCGAAAGCCATCAAGCACACGACCCGATGTACTAAAAGTCGACTCTGAAGCAACAGTAGTTACGGGAATAGACAAAATATCTCGAGCCATCAAAGATAGGATCTTATATTTTGAGCCGCTAGTCTTCTACCACATCAAAAGGTCAAGATCAAGAATATTTTCATTTTTATCCTGAAGATACCGATCAAGCTCAGATTTGTTATCATCGCACTCTGTTTGATTCGAGTGCATAAAGGATTTCCAAAAAGCTTGGGGGTCATACTTCTTCTTACCTTTGTTACCACCGACATCGGTATTGGAACCACTACTACTTGCACTCAAATTTTGGACACCAAAATTTCGATCACTTGCAGCAAGAGAATATTGCTCATAAAATTCATACAAACGCTCCAATGCATCATTCACCTTATAATGCATCTCATTAACTTTTGATTCATCATCATAAATTTGTCCATACAAGAAATTCACATAATTCAACTTGGCTCTAGGATCCAACACAACCGCAATCAACACCATCATATTCACTTTATCCAAACTCCCATAATATTTGTCAAATTTTTCTTTCATTTTCCTACCCATAGTTTGAAGTTTAGGATCCGAAGCATCTGCCGCCACATCGTTTAGATATTTATACAAAAAAGCTATCCCATCAAAGTAATCATTTGAAGTAACATATGAACTCCCCGACATCCGATTGGTGGCATCATAGAATAGTTTTAGAAATTCCGAAAGAACAATGGCATTTTTCCAATCATCATCTTTAGGAAGATCATCATTAAGCTCACTCACAAAAGATGGATCGTCTTCTTCCATCCTTTCAAAAGCTTTTCTGAATTTTATGGCGGTGTCTAACATGTGGTAAGTGGAGTTCCATCTAGTGGCAACATCAAGAATAACTGAACCCTTGTAGGTGATCCTTTCACCCTCAATGCAAGATTTAAATGTGTTGGTCCTCATAGGAGAACTCCTCACATGCCTAACCACATTTCGGATACGTGCAATAGATTCACGTACCGTAGTCAAGCCATCTTTAACAATCAAATTTAATATATGAGCGGTACACCTCATGTGTAAAACACTACCATCTAAGATCAACAACCTTTCTCTTGAAAGTCTTTCCTTCAAATAAGCAATTGCAACATCATTCGAACTAGTATTATCAACGGTGATTGTGGACACCTTTTTTTCTATTCCCCACTCGAAGATGCATTTCTCCACCATTTTCCCAATTTCCCTACCCTTGTGACTATGCATCACCACAAAATTGATGATTCTTTTATGCAACTTCCAATTTTCATCAATAAAATGTGCAGTGAGACACAAATAATTCGGATTTTGAATGGAAGTCCATGTATCAGTCGTGAGTGCAATCCTAGAATTAATCTTACCAAAGTAAGTCTTCAAACAAGTTCTTTCACAGAAATACAGCTTCATGCAATCTCTAGCCATTGTAAAGCGTGATAAATGTTTGAAGAGAGGTTGTAACTCAGTGAAAAATTCACGAAATCCAACACGCTCAACCAAGGAAAAAGGTTGTTCATCAATTATGATGAACCGAGCAAGCATTTCCCTAGAACGTTCTTGATTAAACGACCATGTCGACAAGACACTACCAGTACTCAAATCTCCCACTGCCTTACCAGCCACGTCTACATTACGCGGTGCAAAGAATTTATGCCTTTTATCTACATTGCGAGGAAATTTCTTGCACGTTGTCAAGTGTTTCCTCATTGCGGAAGTACAGTTAGCAATACGGTACTTTAACACAGACTTACAACGAAAGCACTTCACTTGATATGTTTTTCCATCATTATCTTTTATTCTCTCATAATGATTCCAACAATCGGATGTATACTTCTTATCACAAGGAGGAAGACCAAGTACCTTGTTTCTCGCACTCATGGTATTAGATGCCTCTTCTTCATTTTCATCACCCGACAATTCCAATTCTGTGATCGGAGTCATCTCCTCACATCCCTCCACCTCCATTGACATGTTATCTTGATAAGTCAAGCAAACAACACTAGCCAAGCAAACAACACGAGAACAAATTACCATCCGCAACATCAAAGAGACCAGCACACATAATGAAAATCGCAACTATACACTAACACTAAGATAGGAAGTTGAAGGAAGAAAAGGGCAACGCTGATGGACCTAATTCACCCAATTCAATCTTAATTTTCAACCCACTCAGAACAGCCGAAAGGGGTAGTAGCTCAACCAGAACAGAAATCTGCAATAAAAGATGTCAGATAAACATGAGAGAGAGAGAGAGAGAAGGGGGGCGGAAGGGAGCTCTACCTCGGGGTTTTATAGATCTACAACTGAATCTGATATAGCATCCTTAACCGCTGCAGCTACGACTTTACATGTCCTTTCAAAAGCAGTTGACTGTTTGACTGTTCTCTCTGTGACTCGTCAAAAGCAGCACATATTTCCTTTACAGCTTGGGCAAAGTACTTGACTGTTTTACCTTGACATCGGGCTGCCAACCTAGTCTCTGTCTCACTAGTGAATATTTGGATATCCACAGGAGCAACAAAAGCTCTGTGACGCCAATAAATGAAAAGATGACCAAATTACAAAATGGTATATGAAGCCATACAACAAGTCGAGGGTAATTTATCAGACTAAAAATGAATTATAAAACATTGGAAAGAATTACATTAACTTCACCCGTACTATTTTTTTTTTTGAAAACCATAAAAGTCTAATATAGGTATTTTAAGAGCAATTTAGCTTGATAAAAAGATATACTAAAAGATTGAAATACCACATAAACCAACAAGATGAAAAAAAAAAAGGCCGTTTAGGGAGGGGGGTTTTATTTTGCTGGGTGACCCAAATGCAACTCCCAAAGCCTGCTTTTCCAGCCAACATGAAATAAAATCACAATTGTTGCACTACATACCAAGTAAATGGCAAACACAATGTGAGCACGGGAACTTTAAGAGTGATTGACCAACTTACAAGGACAAGTGCTTTCATAGAAACTTCACTAGGACAACAATGACATAATAAATACTAATACAAAGTATGACGCATTTGTTATAGACACCGCTCAGTTTCAGTCCTATTATGCTCAAACCACTACGTTCAAAGAAGTAACCACCTTGTGATAGCGTTTTCACAGGGTATTTGCCTATCCATTGATCCTGTATGTGTGTCCACACCACAAAATAATTGGACTAAATTACAAAATCCAACTTCATTGCCAAAATATGAGTGAATCACAGATACTAAAACATGAAGCCAATGTGGGCTTTAAAAAATCTGATGGTTTGCATTTATTCAAAGACCTACTAAAGATTTTCCCCAAAGTGGGGTTGGGATCCAAAATCATAAATAACAAAAATGAAAAGCAAATGGCAAAGCGATCAAAGAGACTTGGTGAGAAAAGAAAAAAACTCAAGAGGAAGACGCAACAATTTAAGCAGGTAAAAGGAAGATCAACAATCTGACCAAAAAAAAAAAGGGAAGATCAACAAGAAAAAGTGGAAATCACCTTAAAAAGACTGACAGAGAAATCTTACCACAGATCCCTAAAAAGTTAACCTTGTTAAACATACTATTTCCAAAAAATTTAAATTTTACAACTTGCAGTTTCTAAATATCAAATCCACGGTGTGTTATTAGATATGATCACCACTAATACAAGTGATTGCAAATGTAACAGCCTAGCAGGCTCAATCTGTAACATTTACTTTACATGTCCTTTCATCTTTATACAGTATTCCTTTACCAACAGACTGTAGCCTGTAGAGGAATTGCATGGAAAAGAAGACAGCTCTTCATTTGTATCTAAAGTGCAAAGATGAATTTTGACTCACACTTTGATCTAATGGGTGACTTCATTCCACAAGTCAAAAGCTCATAATAATGACTAAGGCTAGAGTACAACCTACTTTTTCTATGGTTCATAAAAAAATACTTCCTATGGAACAACAGAGATATACTTTAAAAAGAAAAAATCAAAAGCATGGCATAAGGCAAAATGCTAGAAGGAGATTTTAATTAACAAATTGTCCTCTCATTCTTCTGTCTGTGCTAGTGTCTGCTTCTTTAGAGAAGAGGGGCATGAGGGACAGGAGTAGATGAACTGGGCCAGCCTATATATCAAATAACCTTAAGGTTTACCAAAGAGAGAGAGAGAGAGAGAGAGAGAGAGCTGCTCATGAACACAACACTTAGTTACTGCAAGAAATGTAGGAACGAATACATAAACCTAAATAAAGCCATTAAGCTAAATACTAAGACATAAATAAACAAGTACCGCCACCAGCTAGTAGAGCTTACGTTTTTTGTATTTCAAAAAGATGCACAAAGTGCTTCTTTAGGTCAGGAGTCTGTTGCCAATCCTCTGGCTTGCTAATCTGAAGACACAAAAGCAATTATCATTCACAGAGCAACCATCATACAAAAGATGCGCACCGCATCCCACTGAGATGATCAATATAATCAATGTATCTATGCAGTATCAGACTTCAAACAGAAACCATGAAGACAAAAAGCTACTTTGGATCTAACTGAATAGCCCAGAGGCAAACCTAAATCACTAGTGAGCCACGAGGTAAAGCACGAAAAACAGTGCTTAAACATGCCAATTTAGTTTTGAAAACCCAAAAAAGCAAAATTAAACCTCATTCGCCTCTATTTCCAACTAATCCAAAGAATCACATACATTCAGAAAGGTTCACTTCCGAAGTGCCCGGCAGAAACAGTACACAATGCGAGCAAGTAAGAAAATCGAAAAAGACCAGCCTCCCCAAACACAACGGCCGACCACCTATTCACTTCATAACATAAGCCGAATTAAATTGAACTAAACCATTTTCCAACCGCGAGAAGGCAACAAAAAAAAAAGACAGAAAGTAAAAACTTGCGCTTGAACACCCAAACAGAAATGAGAAAACACGAAACAATCAAAGGGAATACAGAGCAAAAAGCGCGAACCTTGGCAGGCCAAGCAGGGTGGTCCTTAACTTTGGCAAGAACGAGATCGCCCAAACTCAACTGACACTTACTCTTGGCCTTGCTCGCTCCCTTCTTGCGCCCTTTAGCCAGAATCGAAAACCCTAGAAAAAGCAGAGACCGCGAACGAGCCAGACCGCGGTTGATGAAGACAGAGGAAGAGCCGAGGCAGACGCCGAATGGAGCGAGGAGAGACGAGACGATCTCGTCGAGACGTGGGTGTTGGGAGTGGGAGAGAGAGCGCAATGGAGGAGTGAGTCGAGTGACCGAGCGTGGGGAAATTTGGGAATAAACTAAGGAAGTTAGGGTTTTTACTTTTTAGTAAGGGAGAGAGCCGGTTCCGGTTCCTATAGGAACCAGGAACCGGAACTGGAACCGACGGTTCCTAAAAAAATGGAACCGGGAACCGGAACCTCTCACCCCAGAACCGGGAACCGAACCGGATCCGCCGGTTCGGTTCTTCGATTCCCGGTTCTACCCTGGAACCGTGCTCACCCCTAATTGCACGTATCCGAAATATGGTTAGGTATGTGAGGAGTTCTCCTATGAGGGCCAACAAATTTCAATCTTGTATTGAGGGTGAAAGGATCACTTACAAGGGTATGGTTATTCTTCACGTCGCCACTAGATGAAACTCCACTTACCACATATTAGACACCACCATAAAATTCAGAAAAGTTTTTGAAAGGATGGAAGAAGACGATCCATCTTTTGTGGGTGAGCTTAATAATGATCTTCCTAAAGATGATGATTGGAAAAAATGTCATTGCTCTTTTGGAATTTCTAAAACTATTCTATGATGCCACCAATCGGATGTCAGAAAGTTCATATGTTACTTCAAATGATTACTTTGATGGGATAGCTCTTTTGTATAAATATCTGAAAGATGTGGCAGCGGATACTTTGGATCCTAAACTTCAAACTATGGGTAGGAAAGGAAAGGAAAATTTGACAAATATTATGGGAGTTTGGACAAAGCGAATATGATGGTGTTGATTGCGGTTGTGCTAGATCCTAGAGCCAAGTTGAATTATTTGAATTTCTTGTATGGACAAATTTATGATGATGAATCAAAGTTAATGAGATGCATTATAAGGTGAAGGACGCGTTGGAGCGTTTTGTATGAATTTTATGAGCAATCTTCTCTTGCTTCAAGTGATCGAAATTTTGGTGTCTAAGATTTGAGTGCAAGTAGTGGTGGTTCTAATACCGATGTCGTTGGTAACAAAGTTAAGAAGAAGTATGACCCCCAAGCTTTTCGGAGAACCTTTATGCACTCGAATCAAATAGAGTGTGATGACAACAAATCTGAGCTTGATCGGTATCTTCAAGATAAAAATAAAAATATTCTTGATCTTGACCTTTTGATGTGGTTGAAGACTAGCGGCTCAAAATATAAGATATTATCTTTGATGGCTCGAGATGTTTTGTCTATTCCCGTAACTACTGTTGCTTCATAGTCGACTTTTAGTACATCAGGTCGTGTGCTTGATGGCTTTCGAAGTTCTTTGACACCCAAAGTAATGGAAGCTTTGATTTGTACTCAAGATTGGTTGAGAGAGATTCGTGTGTCGATTAATGTTGAAGTGTGCATAGAGAAGGCAGAAAAATTTGAGTTGGGTAAGTGATGTTTTTATCTTTATATATTGTAATTCCTTTTATATATCTAATAAGTGACTATTTAATTAGTTTCTTTTTTTTTATATATGGATTGTCTTAATGAGGAGATTATCGTCGGTAAATAGAGTTTACCAGTTGAAGAATGAATATATGTGGTGAGGCTTTCTAATACTTATTTTATTTTACCAATACGTAAATTAGATATGGATTGTCTTAATACTTTGATTTTCTTTGTTCTTATTTTTGTCCATTGTTGAAGGAGCAGCTAAGGTCGTGTTATGTGTGATTCTGCCAATGGTTTGTGCGTGCCTTTGACCTCATGGATGTTTAAAGGAGAAAGAAATTTAATGGAGAATATGCCAAAGTGACTATGGCATATAAGGATCTTTCTCGGTCTATTCTATACATACTGTCAGTATTTGCATGTGACTGAGTTTCTGCTGACATGTTGGAGCTGGTCATTCCTGTGCATCATTCATGTACGAACTATACTCGACTTGTAAGATAGATGAGTTTAAGAGGAAGCGAGACTTAGGTTATCAATATAATGCAGAAGTACATATTTGGATTCAATGGATTTTCAACAGAGAAATGAGTAATAGGCGTTTGGCAAGGTGAAGAGAAGTCAACTTAGCTGCCAAATGATCTGCTACTAATCATGATGGATCATGGTTTGAAAACATGGAACAACTAGGACACTGTGCTTATGATAAGGTTTATTTTGTGTGTGAATTACTATTCATACAATATCATTGACTTCAAGAGGGAAATTTTTGAAGAATGACTCATTTACATTTTCAAGCTTGTACTTCACCGGTCTTTATGGGTAATAGAGAAAGGTTGGAAGAAGCACACAGATGCGATGTTTATATATTCTAATATCTCCCTCACGGCCATGGATGACCAGTTGCTGGCAGTTTTGTGATTGTAGTTTCCAAGAAGTCGAGAACTCCAAATTTTTTAGAACCTTATGCTAGTCTTCCTATTTTGTTTGGCTGATAGAAAATTCTCCGTGCAGCATGAATTTACCGTAACGGTCAAGTTTCAAATACCTAATAATATTGGAACAAGGATCGTGCATGGACAAAAAGTTCACTCTGAATGCTATACAATCGAGTGTGTCATTAGTAATTATAGGGAAAATTGCTCCTTGGCGTCCTATTTTCTAAAATGATCAGGGATGGTGCTCTTATGGTCATGTTGGGTCATTTTTAGCATGGTTTACTTCATTTGCATTATTTTCAATCATGTGAGTCATTATACATGTGTTTTTATCACTTGTGAATGTGAATGCTCTCTTACGTATTGTCCCCAGGATGATTGTTAAGTTGACTGTGCTCTGTTTGCTATCTATTTGTGATATAACCTACCTTAGTGTTTCTTATCTGCCTGTAAAATGTCGGAGTGCACCCGCTGTTTCATGTTTTCAAAAGTTAGGTCATGGTTAAAAGTGCGTGCAATCTTGAAACCATGATTGATCAGACTTTTGTGAATCACTAAATCATGTGCATTTCCACCTTTTGATAATATTTCCAGCTTCTGCTGGCTGTGGGAACCAAGCTGGAGCATGTTATTACACAATTGGCTCATGAAGTTGCTGAAAAGCATAGCGCAATAGTAAGGGAACTAGTTGTTCAACCGTCAAACGAACACTTTTGATTTCAACTCCCCCCGAATAGTCCTCTACTTGATCCATTTTATACTTTTCCAGAATGCTTTTGAGATTGCATTCTTCTTCTGGATCTGGGTAAGCGATTTTGGGGGTATTGTTTCCGAAGCCAATGGCGGCGGAGCAAGAAATTAGCTAGCAAGTTAACAGGATCTCATGGTTCCTTGTGTCTGCAGGTTCAATATGGCTTTGACTCCTGCATAATGGGACAAGTCCGTTACATTGTTCCGAGGCCTATTATTGGATATAACCCATGATCCAATTTGATTTCTATATCTTCAAATAGTTGCATGATATTAGCAGAACAAAATGTTCATCCGCTTTCTCACTTTTGCATGGGCGTATTCAGTGTGTTCATTCAGGTACTCTGCAATTACAGCACTCTGCCCCTATATGCCATAGTCGCTTAAATTTCTCCATTAAATTTCTTCCTCCAGTAAATTTCTTCAATTTCAGCACTCTACCCCTATATTCAGTGTGGATCATGGTCAATTTCATGATCTATACGTTCTTGTTGGTGTCACCACTGCAAATATTGTTTGTGGTTCTGTTGATTGCCATAAGTTGGCATTCCTAGGAACTTAATCCACAGTGACCTGTCTTGTGGTGTCTTGTGGTGCTGCATCTTCATATAATGGTTAGGTGGCTGACACTTCCATGGTACTGCTATTGGCTCGATCTCCGGTATGGGCAACACCACACCATTATCATGTTATTATTGTTAACATTCCGCATCCTGTTTGACCCAATTATCGATGCTCAGCTTCCGTGTTTCTCCTCTTTCTACCTTGCTTTTGTTGCCAGTGGTTCTCTTGGAGGTTTGATTGCCACTACACAACTAATTCCTTTTAGTATTGCAGGTGGTGGAGGAGCTTGGAAGAGCAACTTGCTTTGATGACTAGAAACAAAAAATTTTCTACTTTGGAGGAGCTTGGAGGGGAGCATGTTATGTACTTTTTGTGGAGAAAAATGTGGCATCTTGCCTTGGAATTAAAGTCATGTGTTGCATCCCAATAATTACTATTTGTACGTTCTATCCCCTTTCTATTAAGCGAAATGTTGTTTTCTAATAACTAGTCATTGTTGCGTTTATTTTCGTTTTGTTTAACTAAAATGAAATTAAAAAAAAATAACTTGTTAGAACCTGGAACCGACCCTAGAACCTGTGACAGGATAGGTTCCAGATTCCACGTTCCGACGGGTAAGTTCCAGATTCCAAAAATTGAGGAATCTGTACTCAAGGGTAAATTCTAGGGTCCAGGTGGAACCTGTGAGAAACCTGAAACCGCTCACCCCTACACCTGAAGCACGGTGTTGACTTGTATTTTGGATGGCTGTGGTTCACAAGTACAAATATTAACACTTCGTCGAATCGTCTCTATACTCGATAGAGATGATAAGACTTCAAGACATTCACAACCGATGTTGGCCTAGCCAGGAAAGCCTTGTAAATTTGGGAGCTTGACCTGGCGAGGCGTGCCTCTAGATCATTCGCAGGATAGGGTGCCGTCCTTTGCATCCCATCCTTCGTGGGAGACGCGTGCCGTCTGATCTGGTTGAGCAGCTCGCCAGCACTTTCTTGACTGTCTCTAGTAACGGCTTGTGCACGGAGCATCAAAAGAGTTCTCAAGTTGACCACATCCCTCTTGTGCCTGCCTTGCTTCTTGCCCCAGGCCTTCCCTCCATTCGGTGCTTTTGGTTGGCCAATCTGCATCATGTTCCGTAGAGCTTCACGAAGCTGCACTTCGCTTCCTTTACGATTGAGAACCATGTTGACTGGGTCCACCTTATGTGGGGCCCAGTTAGTACTTAAAACAAAAATAAACAAAACAAAAGAAAGTCAAAAGGTGAAAAAGAAAGAACAAAAGAGGGGCCGCTTCGTGTGTGTGTGCTCAAGTGAGAAGGAGAGAGAAAAACAGAGAGTGACTTTACCGAGAGCTCACCGAGAGTGCAGGGGAAGAAAAGAAAAAAAAAGGAGCGCATCTTCGCGGTCCGATTTCGAAGGCCAAACGTTGTCAAAATTGGCTCAAATTTTAGTATGTTGTTCGTGAGACCGGGGGCTACGAGTTGATCGGTTTCGTTCGTTGAGAATCTCCTCCGAACTCTCCATTCACGGTTAGGGTTTTCTTCTCCGTTTTATGTAAATCCACCTTCGCGGTGATGAAAATGATGTTGTAATGTTGATGTTGTGCCTCTAGTGTGTGACTAGAGAAGAACTTGGTGTATCCTACTATTCTTGGTGATTAGTGGAAGTTTTTGGGGCGGTCCGTGATTTTTTCCGCTTTGGGTTTCCACGTTAAATATTGGTGTCGATTGTTGCATTTGTTTCCTTATAATTACGAGCTTATATTGCTGGAATATAGTGGGTTGTTGGAATTAAATCGATTTTGGTCGGTTTAGTTTCGGGGGAGATATTGATCCTGGATTGGCTTGGTTCTTAGTGAATTGTTGCCGCGGTTCTCCCCAACAAAGTGGTATCAGAGCTAGCGTTGATATTCTAATATTGAATGGAGGAAACTAGTGGCACCATGTTTAAGTTAAATGCCTCGAATTACAACATTTGGAAGTCTCGAATGGAAGACATGTTATATTGCAAAGATTTATTTGATCCCATTGAGGGTGATGAGGCTAAAAGAGATAAGGAAGACAAAGAATGGGAGCGAATGAATCGGAAAACGATTGGGTTTATTCGACAATGGATTGATAATAGTGTGTTTCATCATGTAGCTCAAGAAACGAAAGCGGACACTTTGTGAAAGAAATTGCAACATCTCTATGAGAGGAGAACCCCACAAAATAAAGCTTTTCTAGTTAAAAGACTTGTGAACTTGAGATACAAGGAGGGAAGTAGCATGTCGGAACACTTGAGTGAATTTCAAGATGTTGTAAATCAATTGACAAATCTTGAGATTGACTTAGGTGATGAATTGCAAGCATGTCTATTGCTTGGTACTCTTCCCGATAGTTGGGATACTTTGGTTGTGGCATTAAACAACTTGGCTCCGTTTGGTGTGCTTTCTATGAGCATGGTCAAAGAAAGCCTATTCAATGAAGAAACAAGGACAAAAGGCTTGAATTATGCTTCTAAATCGGAGGCACTTGTCACAGAAAACAGGCGGAGAAATCAATCGAGAAACTTCCAGAATTTTGATAAAAGAGGCAAGTCAAGAGGAAGATCGAAGTCCAGGCCAAGGAGGAGTGTGAAGTGCTACAATTGTGGCAAGATGGGACATTATGCAAGAGAATGTAGGTTGCCAAAGAGAGAAAAATTCCATGATAGAAATGAAGATCGAAAGAAAGAAGAAAAGCAAGTTACAACGGCAGTGGCATCCGACGACGATATTGTGTTCATTTGTGATGACACTTGTGTGAACCTTACATGCCAAGACTCTGGTTGGGTTGTTGATTCCGAAGCTTCATTTCACGTCACCTCACGGCGTGACTATTTTACTTCTTATAACAGCAGTGATTTTGATTGTGTTAGGATGGGAAACAGTGGTGTTTCCAAGGTTATCGGCATGGGGGACATTCATTTGGAGACCGACGTTGGATGGAGTTTGCTTTTGAAAAATGTGAGACATGTTCCGGATATTCGACTTCACTTGATCTCCACAAGTGCCTTGGATGATGATGGTTATTGCAATATCTTCGGTGACGGCAAATGGAAATTGACCAAGGGTTCCATGATAGTGGCTACGGGTAAGAAGACATGCACTCTTTACACCATGCAAGCTAAGTTGGTCAAGGAAGATGTGAATGTAGTGGAGGACTCCTCAGTTGATCTATGGCATAT